CTTTTCATAAATTCTGTTACTTTAATTTATAGTTAATTATATCATTTATATGCCGAGGATTTTCAAATTTACTTACAATGTCATATTAAAGATATCCATGAAGGTTAAAAAAACTAAATGCCAACTTTAAATATTATGTGTATATTTGGTCATCGCCGATTGTCTCCGTCAATCCCACTTATCGCATTTATCACAAGGAGTGCTCTGATGAATTGTTCGGATTAATTCCAACCGCCAAATTTCAGCAACGCACATCCCGACAAACCTTACGTTACCACAGCATCCTGATGCTTGGTTGTCCACTACTGTGCGATTTAAAAGGAGTTTTTTCCTCGTACGACTTTTTTTATGATTGTTTACCACATGCGATTTTTCCGGACTGAAATGACTTATGGACTTCAAAGAAATAAACTTACTCCTTATTAAAATGCCGGCAGCGCCTGCAATTCTCCTGGTGTTGCAGTTATTAAAGGGCGGAAGTTAACACTTACCGTTAGGTGAGATTCATACTCGTTTGCCTCTCTTCTATAAAAAAAAAAACAGTAGAATCGACGCTCCGGGAAGTCCGCAGTCTGTCAACACGTACAGTATTGCCCCTGGTTACTAAATCAGATTTGATAAATCACAAATTATCGCTATAGAAAACCGATTCCTTCTAAGGACAATTCGCGAGGCTATTGAAATCAAAAAATATTTTTATTTCAATAGAGAAGATGGCTGGGCGCTACCACCTGCTTGGGTTCCTATAATTAATAAAATTTATTCTCAACTCAACTTTACAACTGTAAGAAACTATAACGAGATACTATAAGTTCATACTGCGTAGACAGAACCAAAAATTAGTAATTTTAATCTGTAGGTAGCCCTGGTTAAAAGGAAATGCGGGTGGTCTTTCCTCCATACAAGCGCTCTCACCTGTTTTCTTTCTGCGTGATGACCTTATAGCAACGATTTTTTACAATAAAATAAATATTAACCTCTTATATGTCTCTATGTTTTCGTTTTTGATGATACATTATTTTTGTAAGCACTAGAAGAATTACAAACATGCTCAAAATTGCATATTCAGACCGCTGTCAACAGAGACCTAGTGTTCTAATTTGATAACTAACACTGAAAAAGAAAAACATAGGAACACAGTGTATATCTTAGTTATTCAGTTAATATCTTTTTAACTGGTCCAATATTGGGGGAGGAAATGGTAGAAAAACCAAACCTTAAATTATGCCTTTTTAATTTGGCTAGAATAGTGGCGTTGGGAGTAGTGTTGCTGGCAATGGTGGTGACGGGATTAGTGCATGCAATTGAGGGAGGGCGGGAGGTGTTCTTCAAACTAGGGAAGACACATTTTATTTAATTTAGCGCATGATTGCAAAATAACTATTAATATCTTTATTATAATGGATTTCCGCAAAGTAACGCCTGATTCTATCAATTATATTAGGCTATTCAGTCGGATCTGCACTTGTCCTTATCGCACTCGCGCTCAAAGTCAAAGTCAAAGTCAAAGTCAAAATCTTTATTTGCAGAATAAAATGTTTAGGTAATACAGGTATTTAGTATAAGAGTAAGTCTCAATAATATTCTACCGGGAGTTGTACCGGTGTGCAAATATATCTTAAAATAATCAAATTTAATTGTACATATATGTCAAAAGATTAAATAAATCATATAATACATTAAATAATATTGCAATTAATTAAAATATTCCTTAACACTATAATAACACTTGTCAAGAAGCCATTTATTAATCTCAATTTTGAATTTATTCAAAGGCATTTCTTTTAAGTTATTGGGCAATTTATTATATATTTTAATAGACATTATAGGAGCACTATTTGCATACAATCTAGAGCTGCATTTGGGATGAAATAATCTATTTTTATGCCTTATTTGCCTTTCGAGAGATTCAGCGTGGGTTTTGTAGTAGTTCGGGTGTCGCTTTACAAAAATACATATTTCTCGAATATACATGCATGGTAACGGCAATATGCGTATCTTTTTGAACAAAAGCTTGCAGTTATCAAGAAACCACGCACCACATATCGCTCGCACACATTTATTTTGTAATTTAAACGCTCTAACCATATGAACAGAATTTCCCCACAAAGGCAGAGCATATAATAATACTGACGACACATAACCTTGATAAGCAGCTAGGGCTGCTTTTTGTGATATTGTTTTTCTCAATCTTTTTAAAGCATATACAAACCGGTTTAATTTTGTACAAATCTGGTCAATGTGAGGCTTCCAGTTTAAATTTTTGTCAATTTTTATACCTAAAAACATAACTGATTCAACATTTTCTATCTTTGAATTTTCATATTTTATATTCATATTTATAGGTTCCATTTTGTAATTCCCAATTTGTACTATTTTTGTTTTGTCAATATTAAATAAAAGATTATTTGAATTAAGCCATGTCACAATAGTATTAATAGAATTATTTATTTCGGTTTCATATATGTCTTTTTTGGTGCATTTAAATATAAAAGTTGTGTCGTCCGCGAATAAGATGCATTTATGATTGGTTATTTTAGACAAGTCATTAATATAAAGCAAAAATAATAAAGGTCATAAAATACTACCCTGAGGGATACCACGGTCATTGAACCTAAACTGTGAACGATGTAGTTCTTTGGTAAATATGCTGTCTTGTCGTGCTTGCGTTAGCCAAGAGATATCTGCGCATTGTTTTCGGCCTTGCAAGTAACTGCTTAGCCATGTGTAAGCCGTACCTCTTATCCCGTAACTTTCAATTTTTTTTAATAGAATTTCGTGGTCAACAAGATCAAAAGCTTTGGTCATATCCAGCATGAGAGCAGTTACAGGAGTTTTTCTATCGATACTCTCTGCTATGTCTTTAATAAAATTGAAGCATGCTAAAGTCGTGGATCTGTTTTTGCGAAAACCAAATTGATCTTCAGCTAAGATACCAAATTTTTGTATAAATTTACTTAGTCTATCGTAAATAGTTCTCTCAAATATCTTTGATATTACGGGGATCAAAGTTATTGGTCTATAGTTATTGAGATCTTTTTCATCTCCTTTTTTTGTGAACTGGTTTTATTATAGAAATCTTAAGACATTCCGGGAATGAGCCCTCGACAAATGATAAGTTTATAAGGAAACTCAGTGGTGTACAGATATAACAGGCACATGACTTTAGTACTCGTATTTTGGTACTGAGTTCGTCGTAGCCAACTGAATTCGTGTTTTTTAATTCTTTGATTATTTTCTTAATTTCCGCTGGTTCCGTTGGTTGTAAGAAAATTGTATTTGGATTTGTATCTATATTTGGTTAAGCAGAATTTTTACCAGACTCATTTGTATTATTGATGTGACTTAGGTCAATAAAAAAGTTGTTAAATAATTCACATATCATGCCAGGGTTACTAATTGTTTGGTCATTAAATTTAATTACGTCAATTTTATTAATTTGGGTAGTTTCATTTATACTTGAATTTATTGAATTCCAAACAGCTTTGCAAGTATTTTTACTATTTGAATAAGAATGTATTTTAAGTAGGTTTTTTTGTTGAGCTATATATATGCACTTTTTAAAAAGATAGTTATATTTTTCGTATTTATTTTTATTTAACATTTTATTAGTTTTTGAGTATTTATAGTTTAGGTAAAGTTTTCTTTTCGTAATACTTGACTTTTTTATACCTTTTGTTTTCCACCTACCTCTGTTACACATGTTGTTACTCGTAAGTTTAATTATAGGAAAGCAAAGTCCATGAAATAGAGTTAACAAGTTATGGAATGATCTATAGGCCTCATCAACACTGGTCTGATCGTAAACTTCCGAAAAGGAGAGATGCGATAGACAGTCAGAAAACTTTTTAATGTTTTCTTTACTGTAGTCTCTGCGAAATTCATGCCAGGTTGTTACAGTAGATTTTCTTTGAATTTGAAATGATATGGCTTGACCTGTTTCATGGTCTGATAATGCCAGGTTTAAGAGCTCATCGCATCTACCTTGCTTATATTGCTGGCTACTTGATCAATACATGCATTTTTCCTAGTAGGGGTTTTTATATGGATGGATATATTGTAACTTTCTAATATTTCAAATAGCTCGTACATATTTTTTCCTTCTTTGAGGATATCTATATTCCAATCGCCACATAATATATATTTTTTTGCACGTTTTTTTGTTCGTTAAATGATATAAAAGCTCATTTAATTTGTAAAAAAATAGATTAACATTGCTATCCGGTGTTCTATAAATGAAAATAATGGTAAGGTTATATTGCGCGATTTCTATTCCACAACATTCGAAGTGCTAGGGACAAGCAAGTTGGTTAGCAATATCAGTAGGTTTGCATTCCAATCCTTTTTTACTGAGAACACAAACGCCACCTCGTCTCTGTTTCGGTTGACAGAACGACGCAGCCAACCTATATCCGTTTAAATTCAAATTGGCCTCGCAACCTCGCTGTATAAACGTTTCAATTAAACATAAGATGTCAATAGATTTATAAGATTGTGATAATTCTGTTAGCGTCAAGTCTATTATGTCAATTTTATTTTGTACACCAGCTATATTTTGATGAAGAAGTCAAAAAGAGTTGTGTTTATTGTCGTTCCTAACGAAAAAGCTGATCAGTGTCTTTTTGTGTACAAACGTATTTTTTTACCGTCTTAAAGTAGTATGAAATCGTGCCTTTAGGAGGTTCCACTTTTTTGTTAATAGGGATTGACCCATCATTAGCCGTTTTATGTTTTCTAAGAATTTTAAAATAGAAAGGGATGGTACCTGGCTTTGCGGTTATATTGGTTTTCAGTGATCTGCAGTCAGCTTTTGGTACGCTATTGTTATTTTTCGAATTACATAGGAAATACTTTTTGTAGTCAATTGTATCTATCACAGTATTTACTCTACGATACTGATATATACAATTGTAACTTAAATCTAGGTAGTTGACATTTTTGAAACACTTTGAAATAGATTGAATATGGGAATTGAGTCTTTTTACATTAAGATACGGGTTTTAAATTACACTGGTCACTAATATTTTTGCCTTATTTTGTTTCTTAAGTAATGACGACAGCTCCACGCCTATTTTAATTGGGTTCGAGTCATTGGATCCTAGACATAGAACAAGCCAGTCGTCTTCTTGTAGTTCTTCAATCATAATTTTAGAACACTGAATTACATGTTCAATACTTGCATTTGGATATACTATTCCACTGATAAAATATTTCTTTGGAATTTTGTAATTAGATCTTGTTTGTGCTAAAGATGTCGCCATGTTCCGTGCTGTTTGATCGCCAATAATAACAATTCTCTGGCTTTGTTCATTGAAAGATACTGTAGGTGTCGTCTCTTTGGAATTGTTTGCAATTTCATGCTGTCTTATTTCCTTTGTCCCAGGTAAAGTAGTCGGTTCAGAGTTCGCTATATCATCGTCACAGGGAGTTTTTTTGGGGAGGATGCTAGAGTAATATTTCGGAGTGGTCTGTGCTTGATTTTGACAGATTTCGATGGTGTCAACTTTCGTGGACTAGGGTCGGAAAGTAGTTGTTTAAATATTTTGCTCTTTTTTTGTTGGTTTTCTATTATCTTTTGAAGGTTGGTGACCTGTATATTTAATCGTTCAATTTCCGCATGGGCAAGTTAGTCTCTAATTGAGTCTTAAGCAGGTTGATCTCTTCAATAACTTCTGAGTCATCATCAACTGATAAATTTGGTAAACTTTTCGGCGTGTCTTCAAGTAACGTTGACGAGGTATTACTCGCATAGTCCTCGGTTAAGTTATGTGCCAATTCCTCCGAGGAGACGTAAAGTCAAGTTTTTTTGTGGTTTCTCTTTGTTATGTAATAGTTTTCATCTGACAAGTTGGAGCTTATATTAGAGTGACATCGATAGTTTCTTCAAATACCCAATTTTCAAAAGTGTTTCGACCCGCATTTCCTTTTAACTGTGTCATTGGGACGTTGAACACCTCAGTATCCCCGTTACCATGGTTTTAAAGTGCTCGGACGTATAAATAAGTATACATTTTATAGTAACTATAATATATATATATATATATATATATATATATATATATATATATATATATATATATATATATATAAAATATATATATAATCTGTAAAAACTAGTTTTATTTGAATGTTTAGTCTTCGTGTAAACATAAGAAAGGACATCGAAAGGCTAAACAATGATTGTAGGGAGTTCAAGATTTCTGGCTAAAATCGATTCCGATAGGTTTCTTTCTCCATACTAACCACTACAATAGCAATTGCTTGATAACATTCTGGTTCAGTTAGCTGGCTCTATGATCCCGGCTTGAAAATGGATAGAAAAATAAATTGAGGGCCGCACGTCACCTAAATAAGAATCTTTAATCCTTAAAACAAACTTACAGTACTTGTGCAATTACTATACTATTAGCAAATATTACTAAATCTGATTTGTGTTACCTAGACTTGCACAGAAATCTTAACAATCTAGAGCGCGTTCTTAATAACTGCATTACCTATAATATATTCAGCCATGGTAGCGCAGTTGGTTAGCGTTCGCTCTAAATATCACAGTAAGCTTGCTAACCAGGTTCGATCCCCGCCGGCACCAGTGAAATTGTTAATTGCAATTTTAAGGGCTGATTTATCACGTGCTCGGCGGTGAAGGAAAACATCGTGAGGAAACCTGCATGTCTTAATAATTAGAAAAATAAATATTTCGAAGACATGTGAAGCTCGCCAACACGCATTGGGGCAGCGCGGCGGACTCTTTCTTGTCCTAAAACCCTCTCAGAAATGAGAGAAGGCCTGTGCCCAGCAGTGGGACGTATATAGGCTATAACTTTCGTTTTTACTTTTTTTATATAACACACATATGGACGTCGTAAATATGGTCATGTCTCAATATCTTTCGTGTCTTATATGGCTTACTATAAAGCAGAGGCGTAACTTTAGAACTTTTGTTGTTCGCTTCTCAATTTTATTTGCTGACGCTAGAATCAGATTACTGTTGCCTAGTATGTGTATTTATACCTGTATTGATATGGTATATTAGAACTATGAAATATAGTATGTGTATATAGATTTACTGAGTATGTATAATTAAAAATTTTTAAGTTTTCCCTACATTAACTATGTATTTATTATTTTTGTTAAGTAATCTATTTTATTTCTCATGTTTTTGATCTTTATTGCGCCTGTCGCCATTATATTTAACCATACCTGGGGTTGAATGGGAGAAAGCCGTAAACTATTAAGTACGCCCTTTGCATCTATTTTAATTAAGTTGATTACAATATAGTCTAATTAAATTAAATAAACCTGTTAAAATGGAACTCCGCGTGATTTTCTTTATCAAAGCAGCAAAATATATTATTTCTTTATTTTGTACATATGCTCACTTACATCTCAAATTAGGAATATTGGATTAATTATTATTATGGCTGTTAATACTCAAGTTGCCCCTGGGGCATCGTAGCGATTCTACGTGAGCTGTCGTTAAAGCCCTTAGAAGTTCAAACTTCGGGTTCAGTTTCATAATTAAATTTAATGTCTTACTTATTTTACGCTGTAATGCTTTATACAAGTAAAGGTGCAGTTACACGAGCAATTTTTGAGCTATAATTGGACGTTGCTACGTAAAAAGGATCTAAGCCACAATAGTCCTTTTGTGAGATATTGATATTTGAAGTAGAAGTATAGCAGAAGTTAGTGTGAGGGTAATGTTTATTTAAACTAATTAAGTCATATGTCAGCGTTTAGTTTTGACTCTCTTTTATTTCATTGATTGAAAGTTTGTTTTCTGTTATTCTATGAAAGAATAGATACTACATCTTTATTTTTGAATACATTACTCATTTTTGACCCGACTGTGTGATTGCCCAATAATATAATTAGTGAAGCAAATCTGAGCAGTATTCTAAAATTGTGCCGATAGTTTTGGCAGTATTACTTTTAATTGTTACATAAAATTTTACGTGGTGGAGCCACACTGCAGCTATATTATGGTTTTCGCATGAATGGCTCGGCTCTACTGAGGTAGGACCACGCTCTCGCGGAATACTCGCGTAAAATAGCAGCTTGAAGCTGTTGTGTTTCGTATGGTAAGTGTAGAGAACCGGAGATCCTTTTTACTGGAAATGAGGCATTCCATTTTAGTCCTCAGGGCAACACATCTGTATTTTTATTCTTAATCGAATATAAATGTAGATGTAATGTAGACGTAGATGTATCATCAGGTCGTTTGTTACCCTTATTCTATAAAAAAAGGATGTATTTCATTCAATATAGATGACAAATAATTGTTATTGAAAATCATTATTTTGCTTTGACCACTGGTTCTGAGAAACCAATCCCCGAAAAAAACCAGTATGGAACCCAGCTGGACATTTTATTTCCTCAGTAACAATATCTTTATATACATAATTATTCTGTCCGTGTGTGTTTAGCCCGACTAGTCCGTTTATTTTTTGTGAGTAATTAATAATATATAATACATAAACACTCACGCCTGTCACCCAGAGGGGTAGGCAGAGACTACAGACTTCCATCTGGCACGATCCTGACACACCTCTCTCGCCTCCTTCACATCAATACACCTACGCATACATGCTCGTCGGTTAAGGGTACTCCTAATTTGGCCCGTTTTCAATAAATCGTCAATTTGGTCGATAAATTTTCGCCTAGGACGTCATTTTTAGACTTTGCCATTCACTTCTGCAACATAAATTTTCTTTGTCACTCTTTCCTCATTCATTCTTTCCACATGACCAAACTACCGAAGCATTTCTTTCTGAATCCTGGTCACAACATCATCTTGCAAACCACACTCTTCTCTTATTACACAATTTCTTTCCCTTTCATTCAGATTCAGCCCTAACATACTCCTTAATGACCGCATTTCTACTGCGTTCACTCTACTGTCGTGCTTCTTCTGCCACACCCAACTTTCACTACCATACGTTAAAGTAGGGACCAACATAGCATTGTGAATTGCCATACGAGCCTTTTTCGACACATACCTTCACAATAGAGTGTAGGGCCCCATTTATTCTATTTCCTGCATTCACTCGTCGTTCTATATCCTTATCACATCTCTCATCCCTGCTAAATACGCAACCCAGATATACAAACTCATCTACTTGCTCGATCAACTCCCCTTCTATTCTTATTTCACATATCGTCTTACTTTCTTCTCTTTCAAAAACCAAAACTTTCCTCTTACTTGCGTTCTCTTTCATACCCCTTTCTTTTAATGATCTGTTCATTATTGTAACCATCATTTGCAGCTCGGCCGCCGACGATGCAAGAATAACTTGATCATCGGCGTACAAAAGGCATTTGACGGTTAAGTCACCCATTCTTAATCCGCATTCTTCAACTTTCAAATTTTGCAAACAACTGTCCATAAATAGGTTCTAGAGCCACGGGGAAGCCACACAGCCCTGTCTGACACCATTATGGATGCCAAACCAGTCAGAGTAGACCCTGTTGATCCTTACACAAGCACTAGTGTCCCTATAAAGCGACTCCAATGCCTGTATTAAGCCAGCGTTCAACCCAAATGAATTCAGTGTTCACCATAGCACATCTCTATCCACTCTGTCATAGGCCTTTTCCAAGTCCATGAACGCACATAAACCCTTTTGATTTTTGACCAAAAACTTTTCCGCGATCATACGCATGGAAAAGACTTGATCTGTACATCCCATTCCCTTTCTAAATCCCGCTTGCACATCCCAAATTTTTTCATCAGTTTCTTTCATGACCCTTTCAATCAGTACCTTAGCATACAGTTTTCCCACAATGCCAAGAAGGCTGATGCCACGGTAGTTTTTACATTCCTGCTGCGACCCTTTTCCTTTATATACTGGGACTATCATGGCTTTGCACCAGTCTACCGGTACCCGTTTCAGTTCCCAGCATAAAAAAACAAGGTGTGCAGCAGGCCTGCCACCACTTCCTCTCCAGCCCTTAGCATTTCGAGTGAAACTCTATCATATCCGGCAGCCTTACCTGCTTTCATGCTTTTCATTGCTTTCATTATTTCATCTATACTAATCTCGCTACCTCTTTCCTCTTCTTTCGGAGTTTCTACTTCATTTATTTTATACGTTGTCTCCTTACTCATAAAACGCTTTCAAAATATTCCTTCCATCTCTTTAAACTCAAAACTTCATTATTCAGAATATAGCCATTCTATAATCTTATGAATTTCATTCATAAGAGATGCTTATAGCATTCATTATAGGCCGTTTTGAATGTCTCCTGGCAGTTCTTACGA